TAGTTGCGTACAGGAAATTTTGCGTCGGGGGAGTACGCGGATAATCGTGACATCAGGCGCATCAATGATATTCAACTCCGCAGGATATTCATGGCGACCGGCGACCCGATCAGATAACGGCTTTCATCATCTAAAAGTCACACCTGTTTTGCGAGGTGTTTTGTTTTCAAATTCTGTTTTTATTTTTTTTCGGATTGGGTGAATACGAACCATCACGCACGTGATAACATGCACACTGAAAAAAATTAATTCCACTTTCGCAGAGTGTCGTGGGACAATGTCACCACATCTCCGTCCGAATCATGCAACAGGGGGCACAAAACTGTTTGTGTTTGCAAATAACGAGTTGTTGGTGTTGCAGGTGCCCGTGCGGGCCTCCGCCTGCTGCACGTGAGCGTGCCGCCCGTGCTGCTGCGCGGCGAGACGGCCTCGCTGCAGTGCGAGTACGAGCTGGGCGGCGACCGCCTCTACTCGGTACAGTGGTACAAGGACGACGACGAGATCTACCGCTTCGTGCCCCGGGCCGGCATGCAGAAGCACTCGTACCTGGTGGACGGCGTGCACGTCGACGTGAGTATCAACGGCAAAAGGCGAGCGAACACAACGGACGTCGCATTTTTAGGGTTGGATATTTCATGGCCCCCTATGCTGAGCTGGAAGCTGCACGCGCTAAAAGCAATGCCTGATTTCTTGAGGGAAAAAGCTTTAAATTAAGGAAAACTCCTCAGATGACTGTTATTCAACGAATGTGACGTCACGTTCGTTTCAATGTGAATCGTGTCACATTCGTATAAATGCTGTGTCACATTCGCTTAAACGTGAATCGGCCAATGCCTGCGCCCATTTGAGCATCAATTCACGGGAAGTCACGTTCAAATGAATGTGACACAATATTCAAACGAATGTGACACGTTTCACATTGAAACGAATGTGACGTCACATTCCTTGAATAACAGTGATATATCATCAAACATTGAGGAAATGATTACCACATGCTTTGAGATGACCATCTCAAAATCTGAGACGTTCTCCTCAAACTTTATCTTTTCTCTCAAAAAATCAGACATTGTTTCTACCGTGGGATGATGCAGGGAAGCTTCCTCTTCCAGGACTCCATTAAAACCGTCCGTCATCCGGTCATCGGTGGCCTGTCCCTTTAGTAAAGTCGTACCCCCCACGATGGAGGAAGTTTGCCGCCAGCGTATCTCTCTCTACCGTGAGAAGTAAGTACGATCGCCCCCTCACACTCCTCGTTCACAGGAGGAGGGCGTACGTAATACCAGGAAATATCGGAAACACCCCCCGCGAGGTATTTCCTTAAGCCCCCCCAGGCACCGGGCTGCGCGAGCGACGCTGCTGGCTGCCTTCCGCTGCTTTGATTCAAAGGACCCCTAATGGATCCGGCTCCATGAAAAATAAATGCGCGCTGTGGAGAGAACATTTATGCGCGGCCGGGCGCGCGCCGTGGGTGCGAGAGAGAGGGCTGCCAAAAAACTGACGCGGCATGTTGCACGGCCACGTAATGTGATGAGGTGGGCGCGCACGCGGGGTTTTTACTGACTGCCTAACTGGGGATGATTCTGTGTGGGACGTCGTTTACAACACTGGTAAAACACAAAGAAAAATAGTCGTAGGTTTACGGTAATTTGGAATTGTAAATTTACAATTTACCGTTTGAAGATTACAACAAATTTTGTAAATTTACGACATTTACGATATTTTTGACAGTGCGGCTTTCAATCCTTTACAAGGAATGAAATGATGTATACTGCTTACTTAAGTCAAAACTTTAATATTATCGCGAGTCCCAACCACGTCCTAACAACATCGTCAATATCCCGACACGCCCGCGCCTCCGCCACACCTCTGATCGAAAAATAAAGAAAAATAATGTTCCCGCCGATATCATCTGTACGTTCCGTTACACATACTGTTACGCTCGCGCACACACTGCTGCTCGGCGGCCGGGCCACAGCTTATTCGCGTATTGGCGCTGTAAATTGAATCAAGTCATGGCGATCAGTCCCCCCCCC